TTTTAAACGCATTATTGAACGAAAAATTCGATGAAACTGTACAGTTACAGCAAATGCACAGTAGACGACAATTGACGATAATAATGACTAGTGACATAATACATTATTACGCAGTTTTATAAATGTACCTCTCAACTTCCTGTGAAATAACTTAGGTGAATAGTTAGGAGCAAAGTATCAACGGTTACGTAAATCTCCTCGAGAGAAGGAACATTATGAAACACGTTTTCTACTACACATATATGTCTCGCGTGGAGATAATTACTACACTTTGCTTAATTCATAATAATCATACGTTATTTTTCTTGTTCATTAATAAAAGCTTATAAAAATATATGGCAAACTAATAATATACATATCACCGATATATTCTTCGTATGTCGGCATATTGCGTATATCGACTTGTTACATAAAACTTTGATATAAATAAAAAGAAGCTTTGTATACGTACATGCGTGTCTCGAGTTTGCTGTTGTTTTCAATGTTTTCTATTTACCCGTATATTTTACCTAAGTATTCAAAACGGCACTATATAATAGCTTAATAACACACGCAGTGAGATTATGCTTTTTACCCGTATGCATCTAAAAGTTGCGGAAAAGGCGCATGTTTTTATAACGTGAATCGCCAAAACTTCATTTAATAATTAATAAATTATGAATCTTTTTTCACACTGTCAATCTCGTGATAATAATCTTACGTTATATAAGCTATCGATATTGATTAAACATAACGTTTTGTTTTTGAAATAAAGTGACGACGGCAATCAAATAGTTAACAAATGATTAACAAATTAAACATATCAGAGACATATGCATTTATCACTGCGTGAAATAAAAGGATGCAAAATATACGTTGCAATATAACAATGACGTTGCAATATTCGATGCATATGAATGGTACATAAAAAATTTTTTTAATATAATTTGTTTCCAATTTCCATAATATAAATGTTTCCACTGTTCGAGGAATTAGGAATTTTAACTACTTGAGTGACACGCGTACAACGCAATGCTTGCCAATATCCATCCCATAAGTGACAATTGCGCACTATTGCACATTATAACATCAGAAAGAACCCACCTCATTTCTTTGCTAAAAAATGTATTATTAAATTATTCAACTTAGAAAATTATTTATTTTATTTTTGATGTCAAGAAATATGAATTTCCCTATATAACTATGTCATTAGGTTTGTCTATACTTTCTACTTGCAAAATTGCAATTAATTTTTAAAAATTTGTCATCAGACTGTACCTCTTTCTGTTAAAACGATAACACGCGAACGAACATAATGAGATAATAAAGTTATATACTTTGTTACATTTGTCACATTTTGTTACAATTGTTATGTTAAAAATAATTATTATTCTTTCTCAATATATAAAAATCAATGAACTATTATATTTTTTGTTATGATATTTCTGATCTGTTGTACATTGTCATTCGTCATACGTGTTTTCAAAAAGAATTGAAATGATATAATTGCAATAAGTGCATAATCATCGATAACGATGATTTACACAAATTACGTAATGTATTTCATATTGCTTATTACGACTTTATGATTCCAGTTATCAACTACTCAAATAAGAGCGTCTCAATGCGAAAGGAATCTAAAAAATAATATATCTTTAAGATAAATTCACTGACCTCGACAATTTCATAATTTTTTAAGTTCTTACATAAAACACCTATTTCTCCGTTTAATCCTAAATAAAATTTCCCCCCTCTCCTTTCTTCCATGTCTCAGCGTTTTTTTTTTTACAATTCCTGTTGAGAATACAGTCTGATAATACCTCAATTGATAATCAATATATCTAGGCGAAATAAAAACTTGATTTTTTTATATCTTATCTTTAATCTTTTCTTGCTATCTTATCTTGGAGTAGAGATAACGCTAAATCTATACTAGCGATCAAATCAGCACGAGCATCCAAAACACTGATCAAGTTCAATCGGTTTGAAATAAATCAGGAAATCCGGCAAAAATAATGATAACCAAACAGAAGATTGAACGTCATCCGTGACAGACGCCACCTATGGACTACGCTTAGTATAGACCTATGATCTATTACTTTGCATGCGAGTATAAGAGTACATGGGATGAAGTGATATAAAACGCAATGCTTCTACTTCTCGCGCATCATTTTATATTTAGCTTAGCGAAGCGACGGACATAGTGAGCTTGTTTATGTGAAATATCTATATAATAGGACGGAATTGAAGACGATAAATTTACAGGTCAGTGTTTCAATTATTATAGGAAATTTCTCGTTGCTGTATATCGACGTTGAAAAATAGAAAATTGCTGTAAATGTTTTCTCGAGCAAAACTATTAGTAAATGCACTTGCGAGTTGGACAACTAGGCTGGATCTTGTAACAAAATCAAATGGACAAAAAAGTCAAGTTTAAATTAATTTTTACGTGTATAATTCATCTTTATCCTTTCATAATAAATTGCATTTTGAGAGTAATTCATCAAATTTCAGCACGTGTTACAATTGTAAGTGTACGCATGCGTGCGTGTTTGTGTGTGTGTTAGTATACATTCACAAAATACCAAACAATAAAAGTTACGATAAATATATCCTGTTCTTGTGATATTGAATTATTTAAAGAGTTTATTCTAATTAAAGAAAAAAGAAATTTAAGTAAAATATGGCAAGAATTTTATGTCAACAAAACATCTCAAAGTTCATTCAAAGTAAGTAATCTATATAAATTGTGTTCTTGTAAAATGAAATTTAAATCGCATTATATAAAAATATATAAAATAATAAAATAATAAAATATATAAAAATTGTATATACAACACAGCTGTAAGTTTTTACGGGACACTTGTGGATTTTATGGACAAAGTCGTAAATAATTTTTCATAAACAATTGAAACAACTGAAACTAACTTGAAATAAGTTATAAGATTCTTTTAGATAATTATAAGATTCTTTTAAATATTTGTTACAATGCTTTAATTCAAATTATATATTTTGATTAATGAATATTTAAAGATAAGGAAGTTACATAATGATAGTTTGATAGAACTAAGTATATATTTTGATTAACAAATATTTAAAAACTTCGATAAGGAAATTATATTTTTTTTCCGTCATAACACAATGAGTTTGCAAAGAACTAAAAAAACTCAAAAAACGTAAAATCGGAATTTTCCGACCAGCTGTTTTCCCCGGAAAATAGTCGGAACATCTGGAGATGGGATAATTTTTCTCTGATTGATATATGTTCCTCTGATTCTAAAAAATAACCCAATCTCAGTTCGACAAACTTTCAACAATTGCAAAATAGACATTCTGCTAAACGAGCTCATTAATTACTACAAATGCTTCATCCTTTTTCTAAGAAAGGTGTAAAACTTCGAAATCGAATGTATTGAAGTTTCTTGCTGACTAGTTATCTCGAAACCTCGATTTTGCTAAAAGTCGATTTACTTACCTTAATTTGCTATCATTGCATAGGTTACATTTTAACAATAACAGAGATTTTCCCGCCATCGAATTTAAGTCTAGTGCTTATTTATTTACACGAAACTGAGATTTTTTTTGTATAACAATAATTAGCATAATAGCGCTGTCGTTTGATTATGTTGACATCTATGTTGTGCCGTATTTAAATGACTAATTAATTGTATACAGCGCATCCAAAAATCCATGTATCTTTTTATATCTGATCTTTTTATTATAATTACAATTACAAGTAAATGTAAAAAATATTACGATATATTATAAATATTTTGATTTCTAACTAAACATTTGCCGCCTCTTTGTCCTTTATTAATGCAATATTGAGCAATTCATTTCGTTAACCTTTTCTTACGCGATCTATTTCATTTGACCTCTAAATTATACACAGATTCCTTCCTTCCTTCACTCCCGTTCCTTATTCTCCCACTCTACTATTCGATTTCAATACCAACATTCTCTTTCCATTTAGCGTTTTGTCAAGTTTCACGCAACATTTTCTTATACCGTCAACCGAAATAAGAACATGTTGACTCCTCACCTCCTTATCATCCGTTTCTTTTATTTTCTTTTTGTTTTCTTCACTTCCTTCAGATTTGCCTGCGCTTCGTACATGTGCTTGGAATCTTACTTATAGCTGGCATGCTGTTAATTTCACGTTTGTATTCTCTTACAAGTCGTCGCTGTTATATTTATTCGTTGCCTCCATATCTTTTGCATTATATATATATATATATACTGCTATCAGAAAATTTCCGGACGTTCGTCACTTAATCATTAAAGATATATATAGAATATTTATAAACATTATTTTTTTATATGTGTATGTAAGCTGTTACTTTTGTGCTTCTTAAAGTTTTCCTTGTCATTTGCAATTTGTAGAAAAAACAAGCAACTATCACATAGTCGATCAGTTGACCCATTTGCATCATGACTCTACTTAAGTTTCTGTGTTCAGACATCAGCGGCGTTCAATTGACGGTTGGCCCGTATCACCGCGCGCGGCCGTATATCGGCAGTTTTATTATTTTCGTTAACTTCTACAGTTAATGACTACCGAATAGTTCGTAGAGTTTGTTCAACATGGTATTTTTTTAAATGATCGATATGAAAGAAAGTCGCGGCTCGCGGAATATTCCGCGCTCGGTAATAGAAAACGATCGTCATGCGCGGAATATTCCGCTTACGGACGCAAATGGGTTGCAAGCGTCTGAAACTTTTCGACGAAAATATATTCCCGATATAACCATACCTTTTCATCTTCTTTTGCGAACCCAATAATTTTCAATATAAAAATAAAAATAATAAGGAACAATAATAATAATAATTATTATTATTATTATTATTATCATACACATCAAAAGAAGTTCACACCGATAAGCAACAAGATTAAAATACGTGTTATGAACATATCGACTGAAAATATATTGTTAAGTTTATATTCCGTATTCGATAGAGGTCGCTATTTACACTTATAATGTTTGGATTCTACAATCTATATTATAAAGCGCCACACTCATTCTCTGATCAGTCGCGCTTAAGATTCAAACCGTACGCTCCGCCTTCTTCGTCGTACTTGAACTTGAGAAAAACGCGTGAAAAACGTTTCCGAAAAAACTCATCAGAGTGAAATATAGTGAACATCGTCGACCGCAAGTATATGCGCGACACGTCGAACGCCGTAAATTTCTCGCAAATACCGCAACTCGATCACGTTCGACGGGATCTCGACAAGATGGGTACGTATGCCCATTGACCAGAAGGGTAAAGAGGCGGCCCATTACGCTCTTAATTGAAACAGCGATCTCGAACGCACGGGAATGTTCGTCTTGAATATCGACGGGCGGGAAGAAAGAAACGACGGTAAAACTGGCGAAAAACGGGGGGCGGGGTGCCGAAGAAGAGGGTAGAAAGGCCGGGATGGGGAGAGTTGGCTGGGAAGAAAGGAAACGTGATAAATCTCACCGCGAACAATAAGTTATCGTAAAGAATCGTTTTCGCGTTTCGTGACACGGCGAGAAGAACAATGATTTGTCGGGAAAATTCTCCAATTCCATTTCCAATTTCAGAAATGCCCGTAGAGACACCGGAATGGCTGAATGTATCCTTCATGCAGAAGGCCCTGCGAAAGTCGGAAGGAGACGACTCGATCCACGTGATCGATATATTCACGAAACCGGCTACGGACAAGGGTGACAACTACACTAGTGACATGATCAGGGTTACGGTGGAATACTCGCAGGATCAGGCCGGCCGTAAAGTCACGAAGAAGAAAACAGTCATCGTGAAGATCTCGCCCATTGCCGAGGGGATACGCAAGGACCTTGTGAGTTTCTTTAGTTTATATCTATTGATTTATCTTATTGACTCTATATGTCATCATCCTGTACATACGCAAATATTTGTATAAACGATGATTCACAATGAACGAGAACTCTCTGGCAAAAACTGGCAATATATGTGAGAAAGAATATTTTCTAGTCATAATTTGCTAACTGAGAAAAGTCGTTGATCTTGAAAGGAAACCTTAAGAATGCATCAAATGAAAATCCTATTCGCTATCGAACTTCGCTCTTAAACATTTTTTTAGATCACGAACTCATCCCTCTTCATTACGGAAATGTTGATGATGTCAGATACTTTGGAGAAAATGAACCAGTTGTTGAAACATCCTCTGAGCGCGAAATGTCTATATATACAGAAACAAGATCCACAGCTTCTGGTGATTGAGGATTTAGCTCCTCTCGGTTTTCGCATGGCCGACCGAGAGGCTGGCCTTGACCTGGCTCATTGTACGTTAGCACTACGTGGATTAGCCAAGTTTCATGCATCATCAGTAGCACTATGTGAAAAGGTAAGTCACAACGACTTATTCAACATATATATACAAATATTACTGTCTAAACATTCTTCGTATGAATTATATTATTATGCTAATACACCGATGTAAACATAAAAAGTTGCTTCGACTGTGTTGCGTCAGTGTCGTTATTGTTTTGTACTTGGATATTCTTCGTGACAATCTGTCCAATATAAATATATAACGACTAGAAGTGACCTAAACTATAATGAGCATTTTATTAAAATTAAAATGAAAATTAAGATCGAAAGATATATAATGACCGAAAGGTATAGATGACCTAAACTGCACGGCTTGCATCAGACATACTGTATATACTTTTCAATATTCCACATATATATGTAATGAGACCAAATCAATATAATATTTAACATATATTTCACATTAATAAATTACGTAAATTAAATAAATTACGTATCACATTTGTCACTCAATGCAACGCCGTATAATAGGTTATTATTAATATTTAATTGTAAAATTTGGAATTATACGAGCAGATGTGTCGAGATAAAAAACATTACAGCGACCATGAACCACTTGCGCGGGAAAGACGTGCTACGCATGTCGTAATGCTTTTGCCGTAAATTCGCCAATGACATGGTATACACGTCATCAGGCAATTGTCACAGAAACGACGTACGTGGCATGTCGGCTGAGATTCTTTGCCAAAGCACTGATTTTCATTGCACTGCATAGCGTACAGTTGTCAATATATAACCTATATTCTAAATTAGTTTAGAAGATATGTCTTTCTCCGATTTCTCCAAGGCGAACACCGTGTGACGCCTCCCAGCGAGTTACACTGGACACGTTCGGGCACACGTGTCTGTGAATTTCTTGACAGCGCAAGTAGTTAACGATCACTATAAAACCAAACCTGCCCAAGGTGAACATCGCGCGTCGGGATTCTAAACATAGATATGGCGCACACATATACATTATTTTGATTCGTACGGCAAATGATTATCATATGACTGTCATGAGAGTTTGAAACTACACGGCGATCCGACCGATATGTTTGACGACGGATAACCAAATAACCAAAGTTCAATATCTTTTATTACTCTTCACCTTATCGTTAAATAAAGGACAGCCAAAACAAAGATTAAACAGATACGTCATAGATAAATATTTATCTTATCATATTTATCAAAGATTAAAAGAAGCAAATATTGAAATATTGTAAAGTAGTGTTTCTTGTGGCATTTTTTTCGAGAAATTCATCACGTGACCATCCAACACTCAAACACTACTCATGCAAATATATAAATTTCAAATTTACTTGAACTTAAGAAAATATTTTGACATTCAGGAGCCGAGTCAAAAAGACATGGATAGAAAAGGAATGTTCAGTCCAGATCATCCGGAAGAATTAACTAAATTTTTCTCTCTCAGTCTTAAGTCGCTAGCAAAGGAAGTAACAAAGTGGCCAGAGCTGGACAAAAAGTAAGATTCGCAAAACGCAAACGCTCTTAACAACAAATGTCAATTTGTCTTTTTCTTCATTGATTACTTAAGATATGTCAAATTTTATATAATATATCACATATGTGGTATCGTGAGTATAAAAAAGAAGCTAAGTACGATACGTTGAAAATAAGCCAAATTAAAAAATGCATAGTTTTTAAGATATAATTGATTAATCTTGTATCTGTACCACTTTCATTACTAGATATTCGGCAAAGCTTGATAATTTCTCCAAAAAAATTTACAAAATAGGATCAAAATTAAGCAGGCAATGCGATGATGATTTTAATGTGATCAACCATGGCGACTTCTGGGTGAACAATATGTTGTTCAAGTACAGTGACGGGAAACCAATTGATCATATTTTTGTAAGTTGTCATAACAGTATGCTATAAAAAGTAAGATATCTAATACCTAAGAAAATATGTTTCTCTTAAGCACAAGTTTCTCTTATGACTCATCGATTATGTGATCCATGAGTATTCATACTGAGATTTAAATTCGCGGAAATTCATTGATGAACTCGTATTTATCCGCACGTAATGAAGAAAGTATCTCACGACGCTGATTCCTACTTTCGTTCTTTGTGTGCAAAAAGGTGTATTCTTTTACAATTGAAAGAGTTGCAAACCACAGGCTATATGATATATGATATATGATATACGAGAGTGATTCATTCATAATTCACTATAAGTATAAAATATTGCTCCGCTCTTTTTCTTTCTAATTACCTGATATCTTGATACGAATTAAAATTGCAAAATAATTCAATTTCTAAGAAGACGCACAGTTGAATTATACGCGAACATAAAGCTGCGATATCGACTTCACCGAGACGAAAAGCTCACGACAATATGCGATACCTCAAAATGCAATGCGTTATGAATAATGCAATAAATTCAGTTTGATCGAATTCAGATACATCCGCCACCTGTCCGCCCGTGTCGCTCACGCAAACTCTCGACCGCCGCAACTTCCTAAACACGGGTCCCATTTCTTTTCCCGTACACGGATTTCATTTCCAATTCAATTGCCGGGGCGCTCATGAGATCGATCGGTCGTGACTTTGTTTGATATTGCAGGTGGACTTTCAATTGTGCTCTTACACATCGCCGGCGATTGATCTCCTCTACTTCCTCGGCACGAGTCCCTCCATGGAGATCATTGAAAATAATAAAGATGTCCTGTTGAACGAATACCTTAATACACTGTCGAGTACTATGAAGCAGCTTGGTTGCAAAACACAACCGCCCACCATGGAGAAATTGAAGAAATCCTTGAAGGAAAGGGCTGCTTACGAAATGATAGCTTCGTTCACGATACTGCCGATAGTATTATGTAAAAAAGCTGATGTGAAAGGATTCGACGAGATTATGTCGAAAGATGGTAGTTACGACAATCCAGGTTTCCAAGGGAAAATTTTTAAAAAGATAATGTTGAAACGAATACCATTATATGATGAGCAGGGTTTATTGGATTAAACGATATGATATGCTAGATCCTTTGTGAGATATAGAAAAACGGAAAGAACAATATGAGAACCTTACGAATAACGAATGAGGAAAAACATTATATGGTCCGCGGTTATGTTAAAATCACAATAGCAGAGTATTGGATGCATTCCTTAAAAACAAGTATCTTTGAGAAAAAATTATCATTCGGTTCGACAAAATTAGGAAGATTTAAAAAATACGGTAAAATAATTACCAAGTAAGATGACATCTTTAAGTTTCAAACATCGTAAATTATTTTTGAAAACTATATATTAGAATTAATATGTATTATAGAAGTTAAAAAAGTCCTTTCTGGTATGAATTACAAATTATCCCGATGGTCATTTCAGACTAGACTGTTTTATCTGATACTTATCTAAATTGTCTAACTGGAAATTAAATTTTTATATGGAAAATTACCATATTCCACTTTGTGTTAAATGTGTCAATTATCATAGATGCAATCCAAATATTATATTCGTTCAAGTATTACACATATTGTCAGTTTGTTAACAAATTTATTTATTATGTTATATTCCACATGGCAAACATAATCGTCTCTTGAAGTTTAATTTTTAGACAGGTAAATAGGTAATAAAAGGTTATAATAGGTAAACATGCGTGTAAGTCATTTATTTACGCAAATTTCTTATGCATTTCTTAATCAAAACTATTTTATAGATTCAAATCGTTACTACAAAAAAGATTTGGCAAATAGTTAATATTATAATCACTTCTTGTGGTGAGAAGGTTAAAATACAATTTGTAATTGCATCCAATTTTGATTCATCACGTCGATAAATCGTTAATATTGTATTATATCTCGATTTACAGTTTTATATACACTTTACGTACACAGATTTATCCTATTTATTGACGTGTTAACAAGGACGATGTTAACGAAAGCAGTGGAAACATTACGGTCAAATACAATTTATATTAATGCAAGGACAGAAAATACATGTTAACAATTTAGATTGTAGAATGTAGGAATTCCATGGTTGTAGGAATTTACTTATATTAAACTGACAAAAAATTTATTGTATATATATCAATTAAACTTAAAAACACAATTACACAGTTATTAAAGTTATTAAAGTTATGACAATTATTCTAACGAATAAATTAACTACATCGACTAGTATTCCATCAAAAATCTGGCAAGTTTCTTCTATTTTCCTCTCATTAATATCCAAACTAATAACTTTCTACCAAGTCAGAATTTAATAATAAAACGACAAGTCTTTTGCATCAAACCAATACTCGGCCAGGTCTTTGTATATAAAAAATTAAAAAGGTTTTATGGTAATATTACAAGGAAAATTAGCTTTACAGACCATTTTACATGACCTGTTGGCTACGTATTTACATTATTGGACGTTTTTTTTATTAAAATTAAAGTTGTCTTGAAAAAGTCAATCAGATTCCACTTTATTCATATCGAATATAGTTGCCAAAATATATTGCTACATATTGCTGATGCTAAAAAAAAAATAATAATAAAAAGACATAAAAAAGATTTTTAAAAAGTTTAATTGTAAGATGACAATATTAACATTAAGTTTTAATTGTAATAATTTACGTCTTTACGTACATATAACAAGGTGCATTGTAATAATCGATGTAAGGTAAAAATCATTAAGAAATTTGTAGATAATAAAAATCATAAGCCTCAAACAATGATTTCTGATTTCTAATACTCTGAAAAGATTGCGCTTCTCGTTAAAATAAAAATGCGGTACAATTACCAAAAAGTCTTGATATTATAACGTTATGTAACGAAACCTAATTACCTCTCTTAACAGCTTAGTTAACTTTTACTCTCTGCTCTGCTGTACAGGGATAGAAGATAATTTCTTTTAAGGTGCAGAGTAAGAGATTATATAATGTTTGACTTCGCTGATTTAGATTAACATAGATTAGGTTATTTCGATTATAGGTCACATTAAAAAACATGGAGGATTCTACATTTTAATATCTTCGATGAACACGCTGTACCTTCTTACGTGTTTATAATTTTAATGCGAAGAACTTGAATATCTCGTAACGCTCTCGTTGCATTTCCTCTGTTTTACGACATATTGCGAGAGTTTACATTTCCTTATTTCTATGTTTCAGGAACTAAATGCTTTGAACATTATTGGAAATTTAATTTTCAAGTCATACGCTAGAGATTTTATGTTCGCACGAGTTCACAGAGGATTCAGTTATATTTATAAATTATAGTTATAATTCATTTCATCAATTATTTTGAAATGCAATACGTATGACATATGTTGAAGAATACACTTGTAATGTTAAGGATTGTGTTAATATATCAATAATAACCATAATTTCGTGGATTTTGTTGCTATTTCATATAAATCTTGACGATATCCCCAAAAAAATCCAAACGCAAATTGAACTTTCGTAACATCTTTTGCGGAATAATCCCAACGTTCCAAATAAATCTGCGCGACATAGTTTCGCGTGCATGTCGCCCATTTCGCGGAAACAAATAACGAGACGCGAAAAACAAAGAAATATAACAAACGGAATTGCTGTTGGACACGCGTCCTGTGGTGCATACCTATGAATTAATCGCGTTACTATAGAATAGATAAAGCATCTGTTAGGAAAAACAGCTAGCGAAGAAAGAAAAGCACGAATTACCGCGAAATCTAAAAATTCATTTTCACACCGATACATATTTATAATTCTAACGCATTGAAAGCGCACGATGCAAACATTAACATAATTGAGTATAAATATACAATCTTATTAAATTTTAAAATGATACGTAATATTTATACGTAATATCACGTAACTACGAAAAATTACTAATTAACATTTTCGTTCGGAGATAAGTTTGATAGCAATTAAAATTACACACTTGAAAGGTATATCTTATTACCATTCTTTCGTTCATTTCCGATGATAAAATCAAATCTACAAGAGATACAGTCTGTCTAATAAGAGCGCAACCGACATAATTTTTAAATTATTTATTATAAAAAAAAATGAAAAAATTGCACATGTATACTACACAATCAGTGCTGTAACGCTTTTGCATTAATAAGTTGTCCAACCACCACCGTTGTCAAATATTGCCTGACATCTTCCAGGCATAGGTTCCATCAATTTTACAACATACTTTTGCGATAAAAATCACCATATTGAACGAATTTGTTTCATCGTGTACTTTCTTTCTTCGCACTCATTTGAAAGGAAAAATTAAGGACAACTGTCTCAAAGCCTTATATTGATCCGATTCGTCTCGATCTATCCTACACTCCGGTACTCATTAAATACATCGTTCCTTAATGAAAATTGAACAATGACTGAACATAATGCGTCGTAGGGGAAGAGCTCTTTTACCCGCTCGTTCAAAAGTTTTCGATGTAACGGTTTTCAAACAAAAGTTTGCTCGATCAGGCTCTTATTAGACAGGCTGTATATATTATTGCTGAGATCGTATCTCAATAAGGCGTAGCAACGTCCGTGATGCCGTTTATTAATATTTCACACTAATATTGTACATTGTTGGTCGGACTTGTAAATATTATATGTTGAAATTTCGTATAATACTCGTCGATTTTACATAATGCTAAATGATTATCGTCCATGCCGTCCCAAGTGATTCCGATTCATTGCATGCATTAAGCGCATTGCCGAATAATTAATTTTTGTTGTGGCTGAACAATAATCCCAGTTACTTATGGTATTCCATAAACAACGGGAAATCATTATTTGGCGCGCGTAATTGTGCGAATTTCGCGCAGGCTGCATTACTGGCGTGGCGTAAATGCAGTATTGTATCATCAAAGTTCAACACACAATCGGTAAATTTAATAAATTTATTAGTTCACTGATGAACTTTTGTTATAGAATATTTTCAATTTTTAATCATATCGCCTATGTTTACTACAAAATTAATGTACGCGTTGTTATATATAACCTACATCTATATATTGTTATAAGACAGTATATCTATCTCAGAGTTCATGACACATTTGTGTATATTCCACCGTTTTGTTAAACAACATTAATTGATGGCGGAGCTTTAGTAGCAACAATAGAGTCTAAAATTTTATATTACAGACATTTATCGCCCTATTTTATCACAGTTGAATGTAGTTCTCTTTCAACAATTATAGCCATCGCAAATATCTGCAAGCTCAAAACAGAAAATACGAATTTTTTATATAACAATATTACTTTTTATGCACAACAGACAAACAGAAAGAGAGAATATGTTTATATATATACATATATATGTGTATGTATATGTCCAAAAGATCAGATTACGTTAATAAAACATAATTTTTTGTATTTATTTGATTCGCTAAAAGTAATATGATATGATGGAAAATCGAAGAGATGTCAAAAAGGAATCAGATCGTATCGATCACATGATACTAACAGGCAATTAACGTTTGCCAATTGTATTGCTTCATGTTTCAACGTGTCGTTTGAAAAACAGCAATGTACTGACAAATTATCAGATTATTGCGTAATTCGATCGGCACATTCGATCGAGAGTCCCATTTATCGGATGAATTATATAATATAATATCTTGCTGACTAATGCTTAAGCAAGCTTTGTGAGTATAAGAATGTTTTCAACTCCTTACCATGCATGGAGCATGTGATTTTTAATCAGCTTCATCAAATAATCGATCAATTTAAAGTGTGTTACCGATCACATGGTAAAAATGATAAACGTTCCGTGAGTTTCGTCTCCCCGTTGATCTGTTGATTGATTGTAATAAAGTATGATATACCGAATTCTCTTTCGATCCGCGCTTCTTTCACAGACTTGAAATTCTCCGTGTCGTTAAATGATTCGAACACGACTAAGCCTCTCTTTGCTAGATGCGCGAAAAGACATTCTCTCGTGAATTCATTCACACGTTCCATCTGCCAACTTCTCCTTTCAAACTCACCAGGACGAGCGACAAATTATTAAACGCAGGAGCGTGCCTATTTCGAACTACGCACGTGTCAATGAGCCATACGAATTCTCGAGAGCAACAATTAAATCCCAACGATCCAACGGGCGAGCAATCACGCGCGTTCATCGAAATTACGTGGCTGCGTGTGAAATGAAATGCGCCGATTCCGGGACCTTGGCGGATGGCGATGGCGGTGAACCGCGAAAGCTAATTAATATCTTCGAAAGTCACTATACGTGTGTATTTCGCCATCCCAGCGTCTGTCCATTTCGAATTATCTAAACGCGCACTCACACACGTCTGCGGCGATTACCTACACTGAGAAAAAAATTTTGATATTTCCAACTGTAATCGCATAAATGAAAGAATTATAATCAGAAGACCATTTTTCTAGGAAGTGTTACTATATAGGGTGTCTGTCGCTAAGTAGGACATCCGTCATATACTTGCAGATTAGGCCGTTTTGAACAAAAATGTACTGTATCATTTTGCAAAGAACCTCGCAAATGTTTGAGTTATTAATTAAAGAAGCATGCATGGCTATTTTCGATAATTAATAATTTCAAATTTTATGCGATTGCTTGTAAAAAGTAGGAGACTTTTTTATTTACTTTAATCTAAACTATCAGCGATAATAACCTAGGCGTTTACCACTACTACCACTTTTTGGGTTGCAATCAGAAGGAGTTACAGTAGAAACGGCGAAAATAACTATAATTTTCGTTGGATTTCTCTCGGTATGTTCCACCACGTGCGTACGTGCGTGCGTGCATGAGTGCACGCGTACCTACATGTGCGGCGGCGTGCACGTGACGTGGAACAAATGGTGATATTAATTACCACGATTGCCATCTCCGATACTGAAATCGACCTCTATTAATCTGAGCTCACACCTTTCGTTCGGTTGGCCTTGCTGCATGAGATAAATCGTCTTTGTTTAACCCTGCGTCGCCATGGAGCCTTTGTTTGTTATATCCTCAACTCACGCGTATAAAAGGAACATAAATACTCAAGAAAAGAAAAAGAAAAGAAAAGAAAATATAAAAGCTTCTAAAATAGTCGAACTCAACTCTTAAATTCACAGATCATTATCAGCAATAATTGGTACGAATAATTATCGCCGTTCATGCTTGTTAGGAAGA